AGCGTGCAAGGGGAGGTTGGTGCACAAAAACAATACAGGAAGGGACACAAGACTGCCTGCCTCTGCTAACAGCATCAAAAAACAAAACTTAAAAAAACCTTAAAACAACTTACATGCCAAACAACGTTCAAGAGCCATATGCAGCCTCCTAACCTGCCAGATTGCAGCGCAGATAACTAGAAAAACAGTAGCCAAGATACAGCTCAACCAAAAATGTGAACTTAGCCGAGAGTAGATGCCAATAAATTCTAACACTCACAGAGTGTAAAGCATAGAATGATTTTTCACGATCAAGCTTCAGTTAGTCATCTATACTTACACAATTTGAGGTATAAATAAGTATAACGGCAACTCATGAAATCTGTTGATTATGAACATCTGCCATATGTCCTTGAAAACTAGATGTTTCTAACTCCCAGGTGGGAAAGCAAGAATCTCAATTCTGACTCTCCAATCGTCTCAAGTATAGAGAGAAGCAGTCTAATGATCCATCAGCAACCAGAGGCCTCTCTATTCAGAAGAAGCCTAGCCATTCCTGGGCCCTAAGAGTGATGTCTTGGAATATCAAGGTTGGCCTGTCATGAGCACTTTAATTTACTGAGAACCTGATGAGGAGCAGTGCATAGTAAAATGCATTCATAATTTATTTTATTTATCATTAATGAAAGAAGAAAGAAAAAGTAGGTAGAGATGACAGAGGAAGAAACAGATCAAAGGACCAACAAGCAAGATATTTTCCCAGACCACCAGGACCAGATGGTGAGGAAGAACCGAAGCTATATATCAGTTCCTGAAATACCTGGGAAACTCCAGGATGGGATTCTAGTTGCCTTGAGAGATAAGTTCCTGGGTGGGTCCTGTGAAATGACTGCAGGATGAGATACTGATTTCCTTTCCTATTGAAAATTCCGATGAAACTCAGAAAAGGAGGTTAACCTAGAAAGCCACACAGTCATTTTTTTATAATGTAAGTAAGTAAGTAAGTAAGTAAGTAAGTAAGTAAGTGAAGTTGCTCAGTCATGTCTGACTCTTTGCGACCCCATGGACTGTAGCCTACCAGGCTCCTCCGTCCATGGGATTTTCCAAGCAAGGGTACTGGAGTGGGTTGCCGTTTCCTTCTCCATTTGTAATGTAGATAGAGTCTAATCTGTATGGGGTTCCTTAAATACATATATTAAATATCACTTGTTAAATAACATTTTCCACCATCTCCTTAAGATTAGTTATTTAATAGGATGTTCAAAGACTGAAGTAAATATTTGTAGTGCACGTCTTAAAGTCTTCCATGCTTTATGTTTTGCTAATATTGGGTTCTTTATAATTCTAAAATATTATAGAAACATACTGGATTCTTGTTCTTTGACAAAAAACCCTCAAACTTGAATTCTTCAATGAAAAATATTTCATTTATTTCCAGTCTGACTTTTTTGATATAATTGAATCACTCATGACTAATAATTATTAAACAAATAAAACTGATGAATTGTGTTATGTGTAATATAGTATATGATCTATTCAGCATTATGACAATAAGTAACATCTATTGACAATTTACTACGTGCCAGATATATACTGTCAAAACTATATAGAACTATACATGGGTCATGTCATCAATTCACTTAATCTTCTACAAAATCTATGAGGCAGACACCATTACAGTATCTACTTTCAACTGAATTATACAAGACTCAGAGAAGTAATTTAAAAAGACAATGAAACTAATGAGCGGTACACTAGTGACTCAAATCCAAATTCAAGTTTATACCTCCATCTCTCCCCACCGTGACTTCTTTTCTCTCCTCCCCCTTGCCAATATTATGCTTAATTGCATATATAATACAGAGAAAGTAGACTTCAATCGAGCAGTAAAGAATACTAGACGCTTCCTAGAGTTTCAAAAAAAAATGTAATTTATAGTCAAGAATAGCTACACGCTATACAATCTATAATTTTAATATTTTGTCTCAATTCTCTTCATACAAGATCTATAAGCCTGTTTATCATTTTTTTAAATATTCAGGCTTCCCTAGTGGCTCAGAGGTGAGGAGTTTGCCTGCCAATACAGGAGACATGGGTTCGATCCCTGGTCAGCGATGATCCCACAAGCCACAGAGTAACTAAGCGGAGCACCACAACTACTGAACGCGTGCTCTGGAGCCCAAGAGCCTCAACTCCTGAAGTCTAAGCACCCGACAGCCCATGCTTTGCAACAATAAAAGCTACCGCAATGAGAAGCCTGTGCACTTCAACTAGAGAGTAGCCCCCACTCTCCACAACTAAAGGAAAGCCCACGCAGCGGAAAGGCCCAGCAGAGCCAAAAATAAATAAATAGTATAAAAAAGATAACATTCCATCATGTTTCATTTATTCAGACTCAGAAAGTGTGAACATGTTTCTGTAACAGTCCTCTAAACTTCGCAAGAACTTTTATGAGGAGGAAAGGTCAAACAAAATTCTGAAATCCATCAAAAGTTCAGCAAAGAAAATTCAAACTTTTAAGAAGCCTTTTTTGCAGATGGTTCTTTTAAAAGAGATATGGCAACAAAATTACAGAGCAATTTCACAGTTTATTCTGTGACTGGATGTGAAATCTCACTTTTATGTGAATGCCAATAGAATGGGATAAATTAATTTTTTAATATAATGTGAACAATAGCATAGTTGGACATTTCAAGTAATCTAAAATCCAAACTGGAAAGTCCTAATTTTGCTGTGTCCCAGCCCACCTACTCAGGTATCTACTAAATGTAGAATACACCCTAATTTTAAAACACTTAGATATAACTTAATTGTATACTTATCATTATTAAATTTATTAACAGATACTGTTTAATATATTCCTTGGTAATGAAAGTTTCCATCATTCCTTTAAATAAGACAGAGTTGTGGTTTGGGTTAGAGTCAGAGTTAGGATTAAATCAATGCCAGCTCTAAAATATATGTTGTTTAAACTGCTCCTTTAAAGACTGAAATCCGAAAATAAAGTAAATTCTATACAATTGCTTAGCAAAACATCAAGTCAACATTCTGAAACAATATTTCTTTAGAAAATAATGCTTTGCAAAGCTAGGAAAAAATATAGAAACTATTTTTTAAAATAGATTCTGACCATAGTGATGGACAATTGTCAGTCTAAAATTCAAATGTATTATCAAACGTTAATGTTAATATGGTGGTCATGAAGTTACACTCAACAAGGCTTGGCATCCCCTCTGTCTCTTCTCTTATGTCAATTAATTAAAATACCTAAGATTCCACTTATTCCAATAGAGAGGGTACAGATCTATGATAATTACCTTTTAAGTGAACAAATACCTATATTATAAATAAAATACTAAGTCAATTCTTGAGCATGTATGTCACCTGAGCATATTTTACTGTCCTGGATCATGAATGGGTAGACTGCTTTGTGAGGACTGCACCTTCATAGCAGAATCAATGAAAACTCAAATGGAAGGACATGAAACAAAAGGTTTTTTAAAACTGTCTGTGTGATATTAAGGCAATACAGTATCAGATAAAACACAATAATTTTCCACCTTTTATTTAAAATATGGATGATTTTTTTACTCATCCATACAGAGTCAACATCTACAAAATGATATTTTCATGTAAACTAAAATCACCTGAGATTTTCATGTTAAATATTCATTCTCCCTTCCTGCTAGTTTTATATTAAATCGAGATAAATCTTTTTCATTGAATTTATTCCAAATTACCTATTTTTCAACTATAATGTACTTACCTGTATCTTTATTATAAAAGTAGTCATTAGTCAGTTTTATAAAAGAAAATTACTATTTCTATCAATAAAAGGAATGAGGTATATACTAATTTTAAATTTGCATAGTGCATATTCCAAGTAACTGGTTGTTATTAATACTTACTGTCTGTAATGAATATAAGAAATACTTCCCATAGTGTAGATATCATGAATCATTTTAAAAAAAGCTAAATTAAGAAAAGTAGGATTACACTTCTAAAAGAAAAGTGAATGGAACTGTGTAATCTTGAGGTATAGTGACTTCACAGGGAACATGTTTTCATAAAATGTTTCTTCTAACTAAGAAAGCGTGAAAAAGTTGAAAAGATACCTACATGAGTTAAGTTATAATTTACAGAGGTGTGCACTGGGTAGCTAAAACATATTTAACTCCAACCACTTGAAAACCAAAGTATACTGAAAATTGCAATACCTTATTTAAGTGTTAAGTAATTTTTACTCAGATTAACTTTCAGGAAAACTATTTTAAATACAACTGCTTTTCATGTCAAAACCAATTTCTGAAGAAAAAAAAACCCAGATTATTTTGTAAAACTAATTACTACAATGAAACAACAGTTCATAAACTCAAGATTATTTAAATAATGGCTGCTACTGAGAAAAATGGAATAAAGGTAGAGGAAAAATTTTAAAGAACCAGCCATAATATTAAGCAGTTATTTATCATCTTCAGAACTGTTTTACCAGAGAGTCATGCCATTTAAAATGTTGTGAATAAATCTATTAAAAGTGATAAAACATTATAAGTTAACTTTTTCTATGCTTTAAAAACACTGCATGTTAAATTTCCATATAAGCATCTTCCAAGAAATTTCAGAGTTGAATTATTTGCAAACAAAGAGATGCAATCACATACCTAACCAAAATGACAACAAAGGACAAAATGCTAAAGCTATAGTCCAACAGCATAAAATTAGTCCTCTTGTTAGAGACAGGAAATGTATTTAAACACCAATAAAGCAAATATATAGAAAATAGCCTCTTCAAGAGATATGACTACATGTAAGATGCTGCTTAAAGTTATGGGTCACGCTAATAAGAAAACCTCAGACACACCTTAGCCCTAAGAACAGCCTCTCCCACAATAGCCCTTGTGTCCATCACTGGCTGTTGCTATCATTTTCAAGCAGATACAAAGACACAAAGAGAATAAATACATAGAATCACTGACCCAGACTGTAAATTGTCACCTACCTGTAAAATGGGAACATTTTCCTCACAGCTCAAGTCTTACCTCATAAGACCAGACACATTGAGTCCCACCGAAACGTCGAACACATCTTCCTACTTCCACGTCCTCATGAGTCGTGTACATTTCTCTGAGGCATTCACCAATATGTGGCACCATCCTCCTAAGAACCTCACGACTGAAGATCATGCCAGGTCCTCCCATGCAGAAGTTCTCCCCAGGCTCCAGCCCCAGCTTTCCGAGTTCTTCAATATTCCCCAGGCCAGTCTGGCCCAGGTAGAGGGGCTTGCTGCTATCCAGTGACCTAAGAAATTCCTCCAGCTTATCACCTACAAAGAAAAAACCAACAATCACTCCTTTTCATAATCTCATAATCATTTATAACACACCAAGTAAGGGAAATATTGTGTATAAACTCTTGAAAAGTCTCATACAATTGAAAAAAAGAAAAACCTCTTTGAATATTTCATTATTTAAAAAATACTAATTCATAGGTGTTAAATTAAAATTAGATTTTATCAACCTTCTAATCAATGAAAAACCTTAGTAAGTCTAACAGTCATCGGATTTTTTTAAAGCTTAAATAATGCTGAGAATAAAGACAGGGTTTTTTTAACATGTATGAAGTAGTGATTATAAAATTCTCAGAAACACATTAAATATCAATATTTAGCTCTGATAGGAAGATCACTGACACCCAGTAATTATTTTTTCCTGATAATTGACTCTGTTTACTGTTTCATCCTTAATTAAACTCAAGCCATAAACAACCCAAAAGATGTAGATGGTTGTGTGTACATATGTACATACATAGATATATATATATATATAGAGAGAGAGAAAGGGAGTCTGGGAAGGAGTGAGATTATCAAACTTGTCTTGAAATATAACACTTTGGAACTTTGGAAAGCACTCTTTTGGAAGAAAATTAACATTTGTTGAAATTTATATAATACCATTGGTTTATAAGTTTGCAAGCTCATCAAGAAAAACAATCTTAAAATAAGGTTCTGTAGCTAAAACAGTTTCAAAGCATTAGGTACTCTACAAAGTGATATGCTGGAATAAGTAGTTGTCATCTTTATTTTCCCAATCAGCGTTTCTACTCTCATTTTGATGAGCACAGAATCTGCAGTCATTATCTTGATACAATGCCACGCCCCCTTGGAGCTCAATGAGTTTTAGCTATTATTGGGTTCTTGATACAAAATACATTTCATTCTTAATAGAAATGAAAAGCATATGGCATTTCAGTGTTCTTAAGGACAGTCTTTCATTAAAATATATGATATGGATGGTGTTAATGCATTTTGGAAATTGCAGAGTGTGGCAAACTTCTGCCAGGAAACCTTTGTGATTTTAATGAGGCACAAAAGACATGGGGACTGTAAGACAGTGGATCTATCAATTATAGATAAAGATATCTACATATTTCATATCTACCTATGAGAGTGGGTTCACCAGGAATGCAATTTCTTTTAAATTTTCGTATCAAATTATTCAGTTCTTTATTTTCATATCTAATTATCAGTATTTCCTCTGCCAACCAGCCCTAAGGATTTCATTCCTCTCAATCTAAACCCAGGAAATCTCTAGTTACTAACTCTACATTCAGTCCTTGTGTCAAAATGTGTCTGTTTGTTATTTGTTTGCTAAAAGAGTTATGTAAATGCTGCTGCCTGAATCCGGAGAAAGCAATGAGGCTGCAAACAGAGTGGGGTAAACTGAGTAAGGGCTGCCCCCCTTTGACCAAGAAGCTAGGAAATGTGGAAAGAAACACCTCCTTCAATACAAGCCTGCTACTTCCCTTGTGCACCTCTCTGCAAAGAACAGGGCTGGAAAGATTTCCTCCTGCTCTAAGGAACATTCTTCCGCTGAGTTTAGCGATCTCTGGCCAGAGCCACTCACACTCAGGGTGAAGGACGGCGCCTGTTTTAAAACTGACAAAGTTTTTTCGTGCTGGGGCTGCGCGCGGTTTGGGGAAGGACTTCCAGCCGCTGCTTCACGCCGCAACCACCGAGACAGACTGGAAGGGATGCACACCCGGGAGTGTGGTGCAGCCTGGAGCTCCTAGAGTCAGGATAATCCGCGTGCGCCGTCCCCTTTCCCCCCACCACTAATTCCTGTCAATACAGTCATCCCCTCTGGGGTTTACTGAGCTGTTGCCAAGGGGTAGGGAAAGGCTTGCTGCTCCACTGTGGGGGCTGGAAGGAGCTGCCCGCTGGGGTGGCTGGGGTGCCCCAAGGACCCCCAATGCGCGGCGGGTGGCGCGAAAGGGAAGGAAACGCACAGAAAAGGGTTTGGGACAACCAGGATGATTCCTCGATCTCACCAGTTCCGAAACTAAGCTAGATTTAGTTAAAACAAAAGGGTAGGGGAATAACAAAGATCACCGGTCGCCCGTCTGGCTCTCGCGGCATCCTGCATCCTCCTTTTCTCCACGGAGGACACGCCCCTCTGGGCCAACGTGGGAAACTGCCAGCACCTGGCAGGGCAGGATGGGAAGAGCCTCAGGTTTAACCCCGAGGTCCTTTTCCTCACCTTCCTACACGGTAAGGAGTAGCAGCAAGCGATGGGCGGAAACCAGAGCAGCAGGAGTGAGGAGAGCGGAAAAAAGCCAGGCGGGTCTGAGGAGGGTCCAGACCCGCAGCAGAGGGGGAGGAGCGGAGTTGGAATGGTGGGCGGAGGCGAGAGGTGGGGGCGACCTGCTGGGGGCTGCAGGAGCCCGGAGCACGTGCAGGCAGAGAAGCAAGACAGGGGCTGGGCAGGGATCCGGGCTGGGCAGGGATTGGGGCTGGCTGCAGAGAAAGGAGGCGGGGAGGCGGGACAGCCGGCGCTGGGAGGTCACCTTTAATGTAGACATCGTCGTCGGCGCGCATGAACCACTCATACTTGTCCAGGTAGTGGTCGTGCATGTACTTGATCATCATGAAGGACTTTTTCTGGGGAGGGTAGGAGTCGTCCACCCCAGGCAGCGCGATGACAGGCAGAGGTGGTGGGGGCTGGCCAACTCCAGCGTTGGGGGGCTGCTGGCTGGAAAAGAACTCCACGCGGCCGGGAATGAAGCGCGCCCAAGTCCGCTGCGCTGCCAGCGCGCGGCTGCCCAGGTACTTCTGCGCGGTCATCACCCCCACGTACAAGAAATCGCGGGGTCGCGAGCTAGAGGCAGCGGCGCCCCCGTCCCCGCTGCCGTTGTGGCTACTCCCCGGCCGGCCGCCTCTCCGGTGCCCAGCCGCGCCCCCATCCTCTTCCTCTGGTTCCCCTTCAGCCACCGGGGCTCCGGGGAGCCCCGTCGCGCCTTCGGGCTCGCGTCCTCGCCGCCGCTGCTGCAGCGGAGGTGGCTGCTGCCAAGGGCTGCTCCGAAAACTGGTTACCCCGGGCGCTGCTTCAGGCAGCTGCGGCCCCCGGAGCTCCTGGCGCGCTGGGGGCGGCGACTGCCCTGGCCATTGCCGGGCATGAGGCTCGGGGAGCGGCTGCTGTGCGCCGGGGCCAGCGGCCGAGCGGCCGTAGTAGGAGCAAAGGCTGGAACCGCGTCTCTTCCTCTCGCTCAGCTCGGCCACTCTGGGGGCGATGAGCCAGGACGCAGCGGTGAAGCCCAGCACCAGCCCCAGTGCCACGCTCATCCACGGGCGGCGGGAGCGCACGGCCATCGCGGCTGCCCGGGGCGCGGACGCTGGCTGAGTGGCTGCGGCGCTGCGCGCGGGGCTCCGGGTTCACACCCACCCCTCCTCCGCCTCCACGCCCCCAGCCCCGGCCGCTGCCGGCTGCCCAGGCTCCGACGCCCGATCGGGGTCGGAGCGTTCCCGGCGCCTAGCCGGCAGCGCGTTGCAGCTGCCCGCCGAGCTCCCCGCTCCGCTCCGGGTCCGGGTTCCGAGCGAGGGTCGGGAGTGAAACTTCTCCCGGCGGAGGCGGCGGCGGCGGCAGCGAGAGGAGCTGCAGGAGGACGAGGAGGTGGAGCGGCGGCGGCGGCGGCAACGCGTCCGCTCCTAGGCTGCCACCCTGTCACTGGCGCGGCTGGTCCCTCCCCCTCCCTCCTTCCCGAACCCCCGCCCTCGCTCCCCACCCCGCCGCCGCCAAGCCCCGGACTGGCCCGGAGGAGGAGCCACGAGCACCGCCACTGCCAGCCGCGGGGAAGCGCGGCCGCGGTATTTCCCCGTTACCCGCCCTTGGACGCCCCCCGCCCGCGCCTCGGTCCGGAGCCGGCCTCCTCTCCGGAAGGAAACGATCCCGGTCGGGCCGCCTCCAGCTTTCAGCGCCAACGCCCCCTCGTGCCTCCTCCCCGGGTCCTAGTTCGCCGTCCCATTTCCCGTCCCGTCCCGCCCCTCCGCCCGGCCTCGCAGCACACCCGCGTCCGGGGGCTCCGTCGCCCCCCTCCCAGCGCGTCGGCTCCACTGACCTCATCGGCTGAGCTCGGGTCCCAGATCCCCGGGCGAGCGCCCGCATCTCCCTCCCCTCCCTTCTCCCCCGGCCCGCAGCCGGGTAAGTCCCGGCGTGACCCTTCCCCGTTCTGCCCCGCCCAGGCTCGGGTCTTCGCGTTTTTCGGTCCTTTCGCTTTAGTCTCGCGGCTGCCACTTCGTGTCTGCTCTCTCCTTATCCCGCTCACTGCTCGGGAAACCATCTGTCCCACCCTAGCACCTCTCCACCCAGCCTTACAAACTCGCCAGTCCCTACCTGCATCCTTCACCACTTTCAAAGCCACTCCCCAGCCATGCACAGAAGCACCATTATCACTCCTAAGAAAATCTCGGAGGGACTAGAAATACCTACCCGGAAAGGCTAGGGGAGGTCACAGTGGTTGGGGGCTTAATCCCCAAAGACAATAAACATTCCACCTTCCCCACCTGGAGTTGGGGCATGTGAGGCTGCCTAGTGTCCACTCCTCAGCTCTCCTTTGGTTTCATGGCTAGAACTTAAGACTAGCTGAGAAGGATTAGCACATGATGGAGAAATGTGAACAAATAACAGAGCCATCACCCAGAAGATTGAAACTAAGAAAATTCTCATCCCCCCACCCCAGAACTTAAAGTGAAAGTGAAGTCGCTCAGTTGTGTCCGACTCTTTGTGACCCCATGGACTGTAGCCTACCAGGTTCCTACCTCTATGGGATTTTCTAGGCAAGACCACTGGAGTGGGTTGCCATTTCCTTCTCCAGGAGATCTTCCCAACCCAGGGACTGAAGCCAGGTCTCCTGCATTGTAGTCAGATGCTTTACCGTCTGAGCCACAGAAAATAGGATGTTTATTTGTGTCTATAAAGCATTTTCTTTACTAAGGCAATGACAATGTTTTACCTCGCCAATTAGGGAGGGAAAATCTCCAGCAACAGAATCTCAAAAAAAGGTTAACCTGTGTTGGCCAAAATGGCTTAAAAGTTACATCATGAAGAAATCACCTGAAGATACCTGACATTTGGAGGAAGGGAACATTTAAAAGCTTTCTCTCTAGAAATTGTGACTCTAACTACAGTCTGAGGTATATTTGGCATCCCAAGCCCTTTCCTGTTCTCCAAATTTCAGTCTTCTGTTTTGTACATCAAATGCAAAGGGATGGTATTGAATGGCACTAGACATAGGGCTGGATCCAGCAAGGTGCTGGCAGCGTCCTTGGAACAGTAGGCCTGCCTGGAGCCCTTGGAGGGGTGGTTCTTTCCACACCAGTCACTGGCTGTGCAGGAGCACATCTGACCAAATGTTTCATCTGCTGGACAATGAAGCTCCTTTTCCATGTCTAGGTCTTGCCCAGAAACACATGGGAATACAGATCACTGAACTCTTTCTCGAAGTTTATCGTTAGTTAGAATGCGAAACTAATCAAACAAACAGGCCCCTTCTGATTTAAAACTACATCTTCCCAAGGACATTTTAAGCTTTCTAAAGCAGTGCTGTTCTATAGAACTCTCCTACAATGGAATTTTCTTTATCTGTGCTGTCCAATAAGGCAGCCAAATGCCAATGAGCATTTGGCTAAAATGGTTGGGCAAAGGAATTTTCAATTTTATTTATTATTAATATTGATTTAAGTAGCTCCATGTGACTAGGGGGTTGCCATGTTGGACAGCACATTTCAAGAGGAAATTCAGAATATTTAGTGTCCCCCTACCTGTGGTCCATTGTGAAGAACAAAGAGTCCACCAACACACCAGGATATCCAGCTGGTCATCCTTCCACTGGATGTGGTTCATGTGGTCGATCTAAAAAATCATTACTTCTCATCAGGCACAGATAAATTACTTGTCAAATTTTATACTATTTTGGGATAAAGTGAACTTCATTTATTCAATATCTATGTGTAGGAAACTAAACACTAGACAAGGTGGGAGGCTCTAGACACGGAAATGTCACAAGATACTCACTGCCACCTATCTGAAGTTTACAGTGCCATGAAGAAGACAGACATTAAATACCACAATACAAAATGAATTACTGTGTTGACAATTGACATGAAGGGAAAGTGTAGCGCACTCAGAGGGTATTGACAAGATCATCTAATTCAGTCTGGGAGCCAGAGAATTCATTTTTAGATACTGAAATAAAATGAAAAGAATTGAAATGATGTTCCACACTGGCTCAGTGACCTTGGGAAAATTATTTAAATTATTTGAGCTTCAGATTTCTCATCTGAATGTAAGTACATTTCTGTGGGGATTTATTAAGATATTTTATGTAAATACTTAGCACTGTCTAGTTCACTTAGGCACTTAGGAAATGTTTGTTTTAATTTTCTAACCCTTCATAATAAAATCTTTTTGATATCACCTTGCTTATTTTTAATGATGTCCCACTTTTTATTTAACAAATATTTATTTATTGTCTACAATAAGCTAGACACTACTCTAAAGAAACAGCAAACAAAACAGTCAAAGGCCTTGAATTTGTGGGGATTATATTCTATTAAGGAGAGATTGCACACACACACATACCCCTCTACATATAATATGCCAGGTAATAATTATTTTGAAAAAAATAGAGTAGTGGATGAGCACTTGTGTCAGATGAGGCCTTTTTAAATGTATTGGTCAGAGACGTTCTTTCTGATAAGTTTAGCAGAGAACAAAAGAAAGTGAGGAAACTAACTATAAGTATATCCAAGAGAAGACTGTCCAGGAAGACAGAATAGTCAACACAAAGGCCTGAGATATACATGGTAAATTTTAGAACAGCAAAGAGACCAATATAAGTTGAAAATGGAAGGGAGTTGGTGACTTGCTATTTAAGCTAGTGTTGTTCAGTAGAATTATAATGTGAGCTATAAACACAATTAAATTTTTTGTGTAGCTACAGTTTTTAAAAGTGAAATTAATTCTATTAACACATTTCATTCAACTTAATATATACAGTATATTATGGCAACAAGTAATCAGTATTAAATTTTTATTGTGAAAATTTACATTATTTTTTAACCAGTTCTGTTTTCCAAATCTATTGAATTTATTACACTTAGAGCACATGTCAGTTCAAGCTAACTACATTTCAAATGTTCAGTAGATACATGTAACTAGTTCTACTATATTGGACAGTGTATATTCTGAGCCTGGAAGACATTTGAAAAGAATTTCTTTTATTCTGAGTGACAGTGAAGGTGTTAAGTGGTGATTTGGTTTTTATTTATGTTTTGCAAGACCACTGTAGCTCTCATGGGGAAAAGAACAGAGGGGAAACAAAAGTGGACTCAGGGAAGACATTTAAAACATTGTTGAAATCACCCCATGACTTTGAAACAGAAGAAAAAGAGTGTTCTTTCCTTCTTTCCATAGTGTCTGCACCTCTTCCTCACTTGTAATAAGTAGAAGCACTGGGTAAGTTTGTTATATGAGTTTAATTTCATATTTATTGAGATTCCTCTAGCTATTTATTGTTATTTCCCAAAGTGAGTGAAGTAATTTTCTCATGCTCACTTTAATTTTGAAGATACATGATTTTTAGGGTAGATAATTTTCTGGGAAATATCTACCAAGGACTAAGTTTTTTATTAAAAATAAAGTAATATGTTCTAGAAATAATTTAAGAAAAAAATGTATTTAGATAAGCAGGATGAAAAGTGACAACTTTGTATAGAAACTTGTTCTCACTGAAGACAAATAAACATAATAAATGCATATTAAAATATAGCCAGGTCGGAAGAAAGAATACAACGTAGGTTGTAGGTCAACGTACAATATTTCTGGCTAAAAATGTCTGATAGGATTACTATTCTGATTTAAAGAATAATGTTTCAATACATACATTTGTGAATCACCTGATTAGAAATCCCTATGAAGCACCCCAATAGTAGATTTTGAAAAAATAGTAACAGATAACAGGCGAAAGGTACAAAACTGATCCTCTGTCTTCTCCAAATCCTTTAACAGTTTCAGGCATGTCCATATTTGACTATTGTAACACACGAATCATTTGCCTCCTTCTCCATGCTGAAGTTGTTAGGGCCTAAGGGACCATCTAGATTCACTGAAGCAGAATTCTCACAGGGGTGTGTCCCTGGCTTTGGAACGACACTATGTCAACCACCCTGAAACCAAGTCTGGTACACCTAGAGCCCTTCAGCAGACTGTTCTGAAGGTTTTAATTGATTGGAAAGAATTAGTGAGAACTTCAAAATCACAGACAAAGGTCCAAGTGAATTTAAAAGGAGGATGGCATCCAGCCATCTCATCCTCTGACACCCTCTTCTCCTTCTGTCTCAATCTTTTTGAAGTGAGCGTCAGACCATAAAGTCCA